ACCCCTCGAGTTTGCTCACGAAGAATCGAAGAAGAATTATAATCCTCTAAAATGAAGGATGAATCTGCCAGAGAGTCACCTCATACCTTTTGCAAAAGGCCATGATGACTGGATCTAAAGGGCCCAGCTTGAAAGGGTAAGTGTAAACACTTAAAAAATCCTCCACGTAGGTGGTGATCGATTCCTCGGGGGAAGGGACCACTACAAGCTTATCGGCCCAGTTGCAGTCCTCCTTGACCTTTTCGAGGACACTGTCGGTGACCGAACATATGTATCTCGAGACCGACTCGCACCGACCCTGTACCGAGGAGGTTTTCTCAACCTTTAAATCGGCTCCGGTTAGACACCCCACAGGGACGAACATCTTTAGAGGGGGTTCTGGTGTCGGTACTTCAGTGACAACATGCGAAGCATTCTCAGACGGTCTCGAGGAAGAGGGGTTTTATTTTTTAGGAACGAAATTTAAAGTCTTTGCTATTGCTTCTAAATAGAGGAGAAAAGAAGGTGTTGATAAAAGAGGATGTGTAATTAGCAGATAAATTATCAAAGCTTTCAGAAAACCAAAAGGGAAGAAGTTTTAAACTTAAGTTTTCAGAAGACTAGAAGATGAGAGTGATGAAGTTTTCTTAAAACACAAGAGCCCAATATAAAAGTTCTAATGAATGGATGAAAGGGGGTATTTATAGTTTTCTCAAACGACGGTTCGCATCCTGTAGCGGCCGACCGTTAACTGACACACATTTAATGCCTTGAAGACTGGGCCGACGGGATATTTCAACTATTCTTGTCACTTACGTCATGAATTCGTCGTCATGATTTATCAGAGTGAGAATCGGAAGCTCGTATAGTTTCTCATCATTTACTCTCAAAAAAACAAGGGGATTTGACATCATGTTTTTGTCACTTACGTCATGATATATCGAAGTGAGAATCTGAGGCTCATATCGTTTCTCGTCATCTACTCTCCGAATAACGAGGGAACTATCTGTATACGGGTAAAACCGAGCTCGATATTCGATCAAGTTTCCGAACTCCCTGATTAGGCCAGGGTCGAAATATCTGTGATCAGGTGAAGCTGAGCTCGAAGATCGATCTGACGTCTAACACCATCAGCCAAGATCGACATACGGTGATTATGATCGAACCCAAATCATTGTCAAAGTTAGCCATCAAAACCATCATATTTGCCCTCGAGTTTATCGAAGGCGTAACCGGTCCTGTTTCTAACGGTCACGAAGAAAGCTTTGCCAACTCATCCGACAGGGGTCCGTAATTCTCGCCATTCACCAATCATTATGGCAAAAATCACGGAACAAGTAAAAAAGGGAACAACAGTCAGCAAATCATGGACTTTTGCCTTTTATATGACAATAAGATAATATCTTAAAAGGTAGGTTTTCCCTAATATATAAAGGGGACTGAATAATTCATGAGAGATACGGTAACATACACTGATAAGCAATACATTCTCTGAGTTCTTACTCTCTTGTACCTTTGTATCAACAAAAGTGCGTTCATTTCAAGGGTGGCTTGCTTACCTAAGCTGAAATTATTCGATTCATGTGGTTTATGGTTAATTTATCATTATTTATTTCAATTGCAATCTAATTTATCGCTTTGTATCAAATTAATTCGCATATTTTTTTAAATCACTAACAAATTCAATTGTTATCTTATTGAGGTTAAACAAAGTCCTAGTCTAGAAAACTGTCATGTAGAATGGCCAGGCTGACTGGTCTATGGACAACGACTTGAATGGTGGAGTTTCTTTTGTTTTTTGTACATAAAAGGGAAGAAAGATGCAAGACCGACCTCATATCACTTAGTACTAATAAGTTATTACTAAGAATGACCTGTCTGTTGTTTTCTTTTTCAAAATTTTTGGTAAAATACGTAAGCAGATGCTCGTGTGAAATCGTTTACTTAGTGCCAAGTGCATCAAATAATCTAATGCTAGATATCATATCACTTCCCTTAAAAGAAAGAAAACGACTTATATTAGTTTGATAGAGATCTTACTTAAATAAAATTGCTTTAGCTATAATTTTTTTCAGAATACAAAAAAGTGACAAGTTCTTCTTTTTTATGATTTTCATGAAATTCCCTGACCACAACTCCGATCTTATCCCCTTGTTTCTAAAGTGTGGTCCTTGGCTTATTTTAATTAGATTTGCTGGCATGCATGAGTCTTGTGGTTTATTGACGAAGACACTTACCCTCATGTTTCAGTTTTAATATCTATTGGACTCAGAGGCGGACCTAGATTATATATTTTGCTGAAACGCTTAAGATCAAAAGTCCGATAGGATAGTACTTGAGCAGTTCGCTCACGTGCCTGCCACCTTCAAATCGCGAGTCTCCCTCAAATTGAACCACTAATTATAACTATATATCAAGAACCTTCTTTCTTTTTTCTTTTCTATCTCTTTTCCTTCTTCTTGTATATCATACCTGTCATTTCCTCCACAGACTGGAAATTTCAATGTGATAAAACATGGATAATATATAAGTTAAAGACTTTGTTTTATCTAAAATTTAAAGAAAATATAGAATATTTTCGTCATCATTCTGGTCACTTTACCCTACTTTCATCTATTAATGTCTCATTGTTTTTCTTTATTAATGAGAGATCCGTATATATCTCTATCTTGGACTTTTCTCTTGAGGGGGAAGTTACTTTTTTATTGAGAAGACAAAACCTAATCAAGAAGATAAGCTAACGCTGTGCTACTACATATTGAAAGATTTTTGTTGTCGTTGTTTTCCACATTTTAAGGAGCAAAGCAACAATAAAGTTCGGACAAATACTTTAATTTTCATAAGTATTCATTGGATAAAATCTACTTAAAATAAAGTATAGACTCCGATCCAAGATTTAAACTTTATGGGTTCAAATTCAAAATTTTATCACATCATGTCTAATTTACTGGGTTCAAATTTTATTTTTACACTTATTTAACTGAATTTTTAACACAAGTACAGAGCCTAAGCCGACATTACCGGGTTCAAATAAGCCCGTAACGTCTTCATTGGCTCTGCCCCTTAGTATAGATACTATCATCCACAATTCGAGAAGGTCTTTAATTACTTTTGGTCATGTTACGTGGATGAAACTAAATTTCCTATATGTTTCCGCTATTAGTGTTGTGAACAGAGCAGACTAAAACGAAGGACGTGGGCTTGGGAATGAGTTACAGAGGATTAAACAGACCAACAAAAGGTTATTGGGCTACACTTGGAATCAGGTTGAGGTGCAGAACTGCAGATGTAAAGAAATGTGCTGGAAAAGAGGGAAAATAGTGTTTTACTATTGGACCGTGCAAGGGTAAGGGGTCGTTGGTTACCAGGTGAGATGTACAAGGATTTCATATGCGATTAGTCTATCCCACCTTCGATATTAAATAATTAATATCATTATTTTAGTATAAAATTTATATCATTTTTTTTTGCTAATACTCATAATCAAATATGAGATAAATATATTCTCAAATTTTATTTTGAGGATGGTATCCTTATTCACGTAACCAAGGGAGCTCAAGGGTATACGTATTATTGAGAAAAATATCTGTTCCTCTAATCCCTTTATCATATCTGTGTATTTCTCTCTTCGCATCCTTCTATGTTCTCCTCTATCGTTGTATTTCAGTTTAGTATTTCTAAAAAGTTTGAGTTGAATTGTAATTTTCTTTTCCTTTTTTTGGTTTTTTAATTGAAGTAATAGAAGTATTGTGAACTTGAGTTGACTCTCAATAAAAATACTTGTGTAACAAACAAGTTATATTTGTAAATAAGAACTATATATCTTCAGCTTCTCAAATTTTATTAATGTATCTTCTTTAATTTTCGTTGAGTCCATTCCAAAACGATTGAAATCTTTCTACATTTGTAAATTTTAGATTTTCTATTTTTATTTTATTTTTAATGGCATACTCTTATAAAATTTATGATATGTAAATACCATAAGATTCTAAAAGTACTTTCGATATGTTTGCATTTTCCGTACGTTTGTATCCATTTATTTCTTCTTTCCTTTCAACGTAGTTATAATTTTCATCAATGGCTTTGGCTTCTGTGTCATATTTTACGAGATGAAAGGACAAGTTGCTTATTTAATACAATAATTTACCCTCAAAATCGAATAACAATTAAATTTGTAAGTGATTTTGAGGATATAAAGATTTATTTGACACAAAGCAGTAAATAAAGACAAATTAAACAAATAAGGATGAAGTAAGTTCAAACCACACGAGGAAGAAGATTTAAGCCCTAGTGAAATATTTGCCCTCGATCTGGGCTCGTTACAACAAGCACCGATGAACGAAATCATAAGAACTAATAACAGAAAAAATAATAATATATTATCTTGGAATGCGTGTTACAATGTACTTTATGAATTAAAACCTCATTTATATGGTAGAGGAGTCCTACTTTATGTACAATTCTATAAAAGTTTAAAAAATCTTTTGATTTACTGATTGTCGATCGGTACGTGCCGAGATTCCTGCCGTAACATCCGGCCGGTCACGGATATTTCGGTCTTCCGTTGGCTATGCTGACAATGTTTCTTCAAAATCATTTGAGGCTAGGACCGATTCCGGGATCATGATCCCGATATTCTCGAAGGCAGGTGTCCTGTCTCTGGGTTCTAGCCCGTTGGGACTCGGGGTCGATCTTCAATCCTTTATTGTCATGTCTCAAGTGTGGCTCACCATGTCGGAGGCTAGAATGCACCACAAGTTCGATTTCGACCGTATTCCACAACGTGTGCCTCTTTAACTTTTAATATAATAATCCTTTCTCGAAACAATTGATTCACGTGAAACAAAAAAGTAAGACAGGTATCTTCACCTGAGCCTCCTATTAAGTACTCTATTAAGTATAAACCAGACCAAATTAGTGGGTTTTAGGTAGCTAGATCAACTCTTTTTTAAAGAGTCTCCAACTTAGGCTTAGGAGAAAGTTTGGTCCGATCCTTTCTGATAAATCTCAAGGGGAAGAGAATGGGAAGAGCACCATGTTGTTCTAAAGTGGGAATAAGAAAAGGTGCATGGACTGCAGAAGAAGACATGTTGCTCACAAATTACATTGAGCTAAATGGTGAAGGAAACTGGAGATCTTTGCCTATGAATGCTGGTAATACATCATTTTCTATATCTTCCATAAAAACACAACTTCCTTATTCAAAAATGTTGTATTTTAATTTGTCACGTAATAATAATTGGTTTGAATGTTTTTAATGTATCAATTTTATCGTGTCCTGGTGCTCAGTGACGAAGCCAAAAATTTTAATTTTCCAAATGTGTTTAAACTTGAAAGAAGTAAAAAAAAAAATCCCAACAAAGAATGTTCAATATATATGTTATATACCTCTACAACTTAATATTTTATCAGCTATATACATAGAGTAATTTTTCAAGAAAGGGTGGTCAATTATAGAATGTAGCTTCGCACCTCCTTGTGCTCATGTTTAATAAGTTTTTCGATATATATCCGGGCCTTCTCAGATGTGGTAAGAGTTGCAGATTAAGATGGGTGAACTATCTTCGACCAGGTATGGTTGAAGTGTGATCATATCGATCGTCTAAAAGTTTAAACTGTTCCAAAGAAAACACTTTTAATTACACTTAATTTTATTTCTAACACACCCCTTACATGCGTCTGATTCTTTTTCGTGAGCCAAAAAACTTCATTACTAAATACTAATATTATATACGTATCAAACAGGCATTAAGAGAGGAAATTTCAGTCCAGAGGAAGATTGCAAGGTAGAACTGATAACGAGATAAAGAATCGTTGGAACACCAATCTCTTGAAGAAGCTCAAAGTTGCAGGAATACAACCAAAACCTCAAAAGTTAACTGCAAAACGAACTAAAGCAACTAAAAAGAAACGAAGACGGGGAAGAAAGGCGAAAAAGCCCGAGAGCGAGATAGAAAAAGATGAGAAGATCCAAGTGCATATTCCAAAACCAATAAGGCTATATTCACTTTCTTCAAGCCAAAGTAGTTTTCAAGATAAAGCAGCCCATAATATTATTACCATGTTGAGTTATGAGGAAGTTGACAAGAATAAGGAAGAAGAAAAAATACAAGAGCCATTAATTCCAAGTTCATCGTCGTATTTGTTTGATGAAAAAGGGAATGAAATTTACGAGTTGTTTGACGAATTGCTAAATGGATGTGATTTTTCAACTGAATGCTTAGAGCCAACGAGCAGCTGTTACATGCTAAAGGAGGTTTACACGGAGTATTTTCAGCTTCTTTCTGAAATTTGAGATGTTACTCGATCAAGCAATTAAATGTTCGATCCATTTTTTTATTTTTATTTTTTATTATTATTATTATTTATTTATTTTGAAAATTGTTGTTTCCTTTCTCTGTAGGATTTACTAGCACGGTCACAATAGTGGTCATTAGTAGAATGACTTGGGAGCTTTTAGAAAGTGAAATGAATTTAATTAGTTTAGCTATGGTTTATTTCAACTTGCTCTTTTTGTTATTATTTCATTTCTTGTTTGTAAAGTCTTTTATACTGGTTATATATCATTTGATTTTACATTAGTGTGTATGCAGAACTAAGCATCAAGTAAAGCTTTAAATTAGAGTTACAATGTATTTGAACTATATTGAATTTTGTAAACATTCGGAGAAATAGTTTTCTATAAAAAAAATTAATTATGGTTTTTGGACTTATTTCTTAGCTTGGAGAGGATATTTTTGAGTTTATCTTTATATTTAAAAAGATTTTATTTGGATTAATATTGCGATGAAAATTTTGGTTATGCGAAAGTATAGTTTTAGGAAACATCAGTAGAAAACCATTTTTGACATCTTCAAGTAAGACCGAACATCATTCGTTGCAACCTAACATACTTTTGTATAAGCAGAAATATATAATAAAAAAAATCAGTTTAAGAAAGAAAACAAGAGTAAAAATGCAAGTGTCTACAGTTTGAATTATGCTATGAAAACAACCCATTTTCTTTTTCTTCTTTAATGAATATCCGAAGTTGACACCGAGACAAGTTAATTCAGAATTATGTTTTAGTTTCAAAACCTCCTGCATTTTGAATTATCCCATCAACGAACAACATTGTACTATAAAATTGATACTCCATTTATCTAGTCTCTTTCTTCCTTGTTCTTTTTCTATTTGGCAAACTAGTAAACACGTGCAGTTCTTTTACTAGAAAGGGTAAAAAAAAAAAAAATTGTCTTTTAATTATTTTTTGTTTTTTAATTAAGAATGTGAGTGAAAATTTTATATAGTCAAGTAGCTGCAGATTTCCATTTTATACGGGGTGAAATTTAAAAATAGCTAGATTTACAAGTGTGAATTGAAAAATAGCCACAGTTTCAAAAGTAATTGAATTTTAGTCACTTTTCATGTAAAGATAAATCTGAACGAAAACACTGTTCGAAATCCGAAAAATATTACAGCATAATATACTGGAGTTCCAGCATAATATACTGGAGTTCCGGTATAATATACTGGTCCAGCATAATATGTTGGAAGTTCATACACAGGTGCTTCAATCTCTAGTATATTTTGCTGGAATTTTCCGTCTGCTGGAGTTCCAGCATTTCATACACACGTGCACCAATCTCCAGTATATTATGCTGGAACTTTCCGTGTTGCAGCAAAATAGTGGCTATTTTTTAATGACTTTACAAACGCTGACTATTTTTCAATTACCAATCCGAAAATTGGCTAGCCCGTGCTATTTTCAATTTTATATAAGGTCCTTAGATCCACCACATGTACTTTCCCAAAAAGAAACCTTGCCTTATTCTTCTTGTAAAAACAGGGTCAATTTCACAAATGGTCATATAATTATGACTTTTATTTACCCGTAAAATCGTATAATTGAATTTGTAACGTGGTTTATAGACACATAAATTAAATTGATCCACAAATATAAAATAATGAAAAAGTACAAAAGTAAATAAATTAAGAATAATTGAAGAAAATACGAGCTAAACTGAACTTCTCCGGAAGCAAAAATAACATCAAGAACAAAGAGCTTAACAAAATGATGTTAACAGAAAGTAATATTAGCCTTTTTTTGTACAAGTATTTTGTATCCTCCCATGAATACAAATTTCTATGTTTATAGCTAAATTAGGGGAGACACGATTCTAAAATCAAGTTCCTCTTTAAAGTGAATAAAGACCTCTCTTGATAGCCGTATAACAATTGAGTGTAAATACTAAGATTTTCTGTAATGGATGCTCCTTTAATGCTGTCTTCTTCAACCTGTATCTTGCTTTCAAATTCTTCTCTCCGGTCTTGATGCCATCGAGACTCATACAGTACCGACCACATGCTTAGATCCGGTGTCAGATATTTGCTGATTCATCTCCTACGTGTCTTTACTGCCACATGTTCACTAGACGACACATGCACTTGTCTTCTCCTAATTTTACCCTATATAACTTTTCTTCACCAAAGCCATATAACTATATTTTCTAACACAAAAATCACAAGATTTTCATATATTCATACAAAAGTCACAATTGTCGAAAAATCTATCTTTTCGATGCAATATTTTTTTAATTCACATTTTATTTTTTATTTTTTATTTACTCCCTCCGGCCCACTGTAATTAATTTTTTGGCATTTGTTTTGTGGTTCACAATATTTGATTTTTCAGATATCAAGAAGGAATTAACTTCTTTTTTTCAAAGTAACCACGGAGTAAAGAGCCTAGGAGTATTTGTTATATTTTCAATAAATAAATTAAGGTTAAATTAGTCAATTTCATTGTTAATTAATACTAAAAGGTGAATTTCTTAATATGTGTAAAAATAACCAAAAATCAATTAAAGTGGACGAGGGGAGTAATAAATATTGACTCAATTAAGAGAGGACAGACCCGACATGATTCCGCCCGCATCAACGAGTTCGTAAATCTTAATGGATTCTTTTTGATTCCAAAGGACTTTTATAAGAAACAAGCTTAGTTGAACCAGATAATGAAATTGCTCGATAAGCAAAATTATCATAAGCGATTATTATATATTGTATGGCGTTCCAAAGTAATATTTCTTTCTTATTTACCATAAAAAGTAATGTTTCTTTCTTTCTTGGAGTACTTTGCATGAGATTTGGAGGAAAAAAAACAGGTACGGATAAGGTGATATATACTTGGAATCTGGAGCTCAGGAATTAATAATCACTATTAATTTGAATGAAAATCTGAAAAAGAAAGATAAAAGGTATGGATAACAGTATAAATAGCATATATTTGGAGGGATACATATGAGTTTTGGATTGCACTGGATGGGGGTCAGTCCTCTTATAGTTGTCAATATGTATTAGGTTAAAAATAAAAAATATGGAGTAAAAAGATTGCATCGTAAAGTTAGATTTTCTGGCAATTGTGACTTTTATGCGGGCGTGTGAAAGTTTTGAGATTTTTGTGTTAGAAAATATAGCTATATGACTTTGATGAAAAAAATTATAGTTATAAGACTATTTGAAATTTACCATGTAACAAAAACAGACATGGTATAATCCTACAAATGGGGTCTAGAGAGCGCAGTGTGTATAAAGATTTATGCCTACCTTGTGAAAATAAAGAGGTTATTTTCAAAGACCCTCGTCTCGAGAAAAAAGGAAAAAATGGGTAGAAATCGACACGTAGTAAGAACAACAAGATAATAGATAACTGAAGCGGAAGAAACAACGTGTAATAATAGAAATCTAAGAATACGAGAGTACAAAACTAATACTACTACCTACTAGTGCGGCATAAAAATACGCTCGACTACCCACTAACTTTCTATCCTAATTATTCTCGACCTCTACATACTCCTATCAAGGGAAGCTGAAGCTACACCATATTATGCCTAATTACCTCTCCCAATACTTCTTAGGCCTACCTCAACCTCTCTTCACACCTATCAAGGTCAACCTCTCACACCCTCCTTATTAGGGCATCTGTACCCCTCCTCTTCACATGTCCGAACTATCTTAGCCTCGCTTCCCGCATCTTGTCCTCCATGAGGGTCACTCCACTTGTCTCGGGTAACTTCATTCTTAATCTTATCTCTTATAGTGTACACACACATCCATCCCAGCATCCTCATCTCTGCTACTCTTATCTTCTGGCCATGGAAATTCTTGATTGGCCAACACTTTGCACCATACAACATAGTCGATCTAACCACCACTCGGTGAAACTTACCTTTAAGTCTAGATGGCACATTCTTATCACAAGGAATACAAACATCGGCTACCTCTATTTCATCAACATCGCTCCAATATAATTATTATAGTCATTCATCTATTTTTATACTGTATACATGAGGTAAAAAAAGTATGCACTGTCAGTTACCTTAAGTAAAATTCATATAACAACAACAACAATAACAACAACAACAACAACAATAAAAAACTCAGTAGTTTCCTACGAGTGGGGTCCGGGGAGGGTAAGATGTACGCAACCTTACCCCTATCCCTAGAAGGGCAGAAAGACTGTTTCCGATAGACCCTCGGCTAAAAACCGACTAAAAAAGAAAAGGTAATTGCAATAAGTAGGAATAACAACAAGATAAAATAAGATCGAATCCAAGAATGCAGTCAAACTCTAGGTAGTTATAGCCCTCTATGAAAAAAAGATAACATACTAACACTAATGTTAGCGAACTGAGTAAGACAAAGAGAAATATTCCACTACCTACTAACCTTCTACCCTAATATTTGGCCACCACACCCTCCTGTCTAGGGTCATGTCCTCAGTCAGCTCCAGCTACGCCATGTCCCGCATAATAACCTCTCTCCAAGACTTCTTAGCCCTACCTCTACCCCTCCTGCTGCCCACCGAGGCTAACTGCTCACACCTTCTAACTGAGGTTTCTATACTTCTCCTCTTAACATGCCCGAACCACCTCCACCTCGCCTCCCGCATCTTATCCTCCATAGGGGCCACTCCCACCTTTTCCCGAATAACTTAATTCCTAATCTTATCCAACCGGGTATGCCCACACATCCACCTCAACATCCTCATCTCAGCTACTTTTAGCTTCTAGGTATGAGAGTTCTTGACCAGCCAATACTCTGCTCCATACAACAGTCGGTCTAACTACAACCTTGTAGAACTTATCTTTAAGTCTCAGCGGCACATTCTTATCACACAAGACACCAGAAGCTAGCCTCCATTTCATCCATCCTGCTCCGATACGATGCGTGACATCTTCTTCACTCTCCCTGATACCTTGTATTATAGATCCAAGATACTAGAAACCACCTCTCTTGGGGATGACTTGCGTATCAAGCCTCATCTTCATATCCCCTTATTGGGTACCATTGCTGAACTTGCACTCCATGTATTCCGTCTTGGTCCTGCTCAACTTGAAACTAAGTAAAACTCATATGTGAAACGTAAATACTTGCAAGTTTTGATATATATCGTTGCGGTTACACTGAAGGAGCAAGTCTTCTCGTTTTG